AAAAAAAAAAAAAAAGGAAGCGGGACAGGCGGGACGGGACGGGACAAACGGGACGAAATGTACATCCCGTGTCCCGTTTAACATGGCCCCATCCCGTTTAGAATTAAGTGGGATGGGACGCGGGACGGGACCGGGACGGGACAGTCCTGTCACGTTGGACAGCTCCGTCCCGTCCCGTCACGTTGGACAGCCTTACTTCTAACACAAAAGGATGTATATGCCACTTTCTCAAATCTCAAGGGACTAACTGCTAGTTTTTGGAACCTCAAGGGGTCTGTGAAAGTTACACCTATAAAATACCCAAAATATTAGAATGATGTAAATTTTTCTAACGTCCATGGAAAATCCCAATGCTGAGAGATAACCAGTCAAAATTGCTCACCAAAAGCAAGCCAAACGATCTTCACTTGTTTATATTCTATTTTCAGACCAAAAACACTAGTGCCACATTGACTTTAATCACTACAATGACTAGCTACCACCCTATAGTCAACCACAAAGAACGATTTGTCACTGTAATACTCAATTCATTTGACTTCACCTAACCACTAGAATGACTTGACTCCTATTCTAATCAACTAGAAAGGCAACTGATTTGTGATTTCCGTACACAATCCATTGACTCAACTAGTATGGGCAAAATTATCTTCCTATAAAACCATATTGTGCTCATTAATGCCTTACTTGAAGAAAAAGAACTGATAGTTTGACAAAAGAATATTTCAAAGAGTATTCGAACCAACCATGACTAAACTATGCCTACTGCTTCTTTCACTGGGATTTCTTAGTTTCTTTAGAGCTGCTTTTTGCTGTCCAATTGATCAAAAACAAGCCCTTCTCAAGTTTAAATCTGCATTCCTCAAGAATGCTGCTGTTAATTCATCTTCTTCAGATGGTTTCTTCAGCTTTGCACTAGAGGACTGGAATTCCACCTCCGATTGTTGTACTTGGGATAGAGTCATTTGTGACTCTAAATCAAATTCTAAAGCTGTGATTGCTCTCTATCTGGATTCCCTTGTTTCTCTTCAATCTCTTGAACCTGTTGCGGTCAGTTCTTCTGTTTTGGCACCCCTTTTCGGAATAAAATCTTTGATGATGCTTATCTTGTCCTCAAATCACATAAAAGGCCAAATACCGGGTGAATGGATCGCCAGTCTTGGAAACTTAGTTCATCTTGACTTGATGCAGAATAACTTTACTGGCTCTATTCCTCCACAAGTTTTTCACTTAAGGCACCTCCAATATCTAGACTTGAGTGAGAATTTGCTTACTGGTGTTTTGGTTCCTGAAGTAGGATTTCTTCAAAAGTTGAGAACATTGAAGCTTGATGACAACTTTCTTGGTGGAAACATTCCCGTGGAGATTGGAAACCTCAGCAAGATTCAAGAATTGTCCCTCAGAAACAACCACTTTTCTGGTGGATTCCCACTTTCTATATTGAACTTGAAGGGATTGCAAGTGTTGGATTTAAGGGAAAATCTATTTTCACAGCAGATTCCAACTGAGATGGGGAGCTTGTCAAATCTGTCTACTTTGGCCTTGAGCAAGAACAAGCTGACTGGTGTCATTCCAAGTTCAATAAAGAACATGACCAAATTGGAGACTCTTAAATTGGATAACAATATGCTTACTGGAGAGATTCCATCTTGGTTATTCCACATGAAGGCTCTGAAAAATCTGTTTCTTGGAAAAAATGCATTGAAATGGAACAACAATGCCAAGATAGTGCCTCAATGCATGTTATCTGGACTGTCCCTTCAGTCTTGCGGCCTTGTAGGACCGATCCCAGAATGGATTTCTTCACAAAGAAGTATTGATTACTTGGATTTGAGTGACAACAAGCTCGTAGGAACTTTCCCTCAGTGGCTTGCAGAAATGGAACTTGGAACTATTATTCTGTCAGATAACAATCTAACAGGTTCTCTCCTTCCTAGTCTCTTCCATTCCAGAAGTCTATCTCTTCTTGACCTTTCAAGAAACAGGTTTTCGGGGGAGCTGCCAGAAAACATGGGTAATGCTACCACGATTATGGTTCTCATATTGGCTGAGAATAGTTTCTCTGGAAAAATTCCGAGCTCCATCACCAATATTTATCGCTTGTTACTGTTGGACTTGTCAAAGAACAGACTTTCTGGCACAATTCCATTTTTTGATCCAACTTCTTTTGTTGCGTATGTTGACTTATCCTTTAATGACTTCTCCGGTGATGTTCCTCTAACCTTTTCACAAGAAACCAGAATTTTAGCCTTAGGGGGAAACAATTTTTCAGGGAGTTTGAAGAGGAACCTGACCAATTTTTACATGCTTGAGCATCTTGATCTTCATGACAACAGAATCACAGGAGAATTCCCAAATTTTATCTCAGAAATGTCCACACTTAGAAGCTTGAATTTGAGGAATAATTTCCTACAAGGTTCAGTTCCTTGTAGCATTTCCAACTTAAGTAAGCTTCAAATACTTGACTTGTCACACAACAGCTTCACTGGAAGTATCCCTTCAGAGGTCGGAAATCTAGTTGGAATGATTGAAACGCCAAGTACGTTCTCATCAATTTCATTCATTTTCACCTTCTCAATTGAATACACTGACCTGATAGTGAACTGGAAGAGGTCAGTACAAGGTCTGTCATCGGGTGCCAGCATCGACATCTACTCTTGGCTGGACTTGTCAAAAAACCATCTTTCTGGTGAAATCCCATCTTCTATAGGCAAACTTAGAGGCCTAAAGATGCTTAACATCTCTTACAATGGCCTTAAAGGCAAAATTCCAGCAACTGTTGGGAATTTAGAGAATCTTGAGAGTTTAGATTTGTCTCACAACAGTCTCTCTGGTCCAATACCGCAATCCTTTACAAAGCTTCAACAACTCACCACTCTGGATGTCAGCAATAACCATCTAAAGGGTAAAATCCCAGTTGGTGGCCAAATGGATACAATGGATGATCCAACTTATTATGCTAATAATAGTGGTCTTTGTGGCTTCCAAATTCAACTGCAGTGTCCTGAAAACAAGTCACCACAAGCAATGGAACCAGAGAATGAGAGCAAAGAGCCATGGTTTGCATGGGAAGCAGTGTGGATAGGATTCCCAGTTGGTTTCCTTGTATCAATTTTAGTCATATTTCTTACTGGACTTTTCACCCCCAAGAAGCCTACACAACAGCGTAGCCTCCTAAGAAGGCACGCTCGGAACTGAAGCAGTTGCACTTTAAATTGGTGATTCCCTTGAAGATACATAGTACAGATCAAGAAGCAGCAGAGAATTAGGATAGTATAGATAATGACGGGAAGAGTAATTGCCTCAGTTCTCTTACACAGCTGCAGTGGAACCTTTCCTGCATAATTTTACTAATAAATATTTCCATTATGAGAGTACATTCTTTTTCCTTTTTGGGGTACCTTGAGATGGCTATGAGGTTGCATTTGAGTGCTAAAAACAATAGACTTGAGTGCTAATTCGAAACCAAAAACTCTCCTAACCCACTAAGATTTTAATGGCCTATCCAGGTCAGTAAAATTGCCTTTTTCTTTTCCTAATATGGTTCTAGTATATGTGTCTACTGAAGCAAGGCTTATGTCTACCACTATGTTTAATTATCCTAAATATCATTCTAATTGCTTACAAAAATGGAAGAGTTGTAAAATCTCAACTGAAAAAGAAAGGAATGATATGCCGCGAGAAGCAGATCAGCCAAACATGAAATTGAAATGAGCAATCTAAAGCATTTGCAGCTTTAGAAATCTCCAAATTCTTGACTTTCCAGGAAACAATACAAAACAACCCGTCAGAGATAAGAAATCTTACTCTGAAGAAAAACCAGCAAGATCTTCATATACTTCTCCGCCGACAAAAGATGTACTTCTTAGCTTATAATACAATAGAAAAATATATATCGCAGCCTAAGCTCTTTTTTGAAAGAAAAAAAAAATTACTACATGAACTATTTGATTTTACTGATAAAGCTGATCATTGGCGGCAATCTGTTTGTGAGAATGAAGAGGAATTATAACTTGTTACATCTTCAAAGTTAAGCTTGTTTATCCCTCTAATATTCCTTTCATGATCAAAAGCAGTTTCACTGATGCACAATATATTATTGGTCTACAAAGCTGAAACTCATTCAAAGTTTATTATTTGGAGAAAACAACAGAAACAATACATGCTGCTTGTTCTTTATAGTTCAACATTTGTGCGCACAGCTTTTTCAGTAGCCTTCAGATGCTAGAACCAGAAAACTTACTGCAGGAGAAAACAGTTAGTTTGTGTGTGGTTTTATTGCTCAGAAGAATCAAGCAAGAATAAAAGCTTCACGTGTTTACAACAGGGAACAATTGTCAGTTGACATGAATTCTCACATAAGAAGCTTGAAGTGATCACGATCCGCAATGGCAGGAAAGTGATACATGAACAACCTTCATTCCCGTGTAGGATGTTCCCCGGATAATGAAATGTACTCAAATGAGGAGTCTAGCTTTGAAATGACAGCATCAACTCCGCTTCTACTAAAGCACGGCATGGAAGAAATTCTCGATGTAAATGCAATAAGAATAGCAATTCTGATGGAAGCATGCTTAGATGAGTGACTTTAGCGCCTGTAACTTTTCTAATCATGAACAAAGTTCCCGTGCACATGAAGTCAATTCCTCATTGTCTTCTGTTAGGTTAAACTGCAGCCCTACTTTGGAAGTAGTTTCAGGAAGAAGCTGGTTGAGCAGCATCAAAGAATAATGCATAGACAATGTCTTGTCTCCTCTTCAGTGTCAGTATCCCCCGTTTCACTGCAGATAACATCATCTTAACAGTTAGCTTACTATTAAAGGAACAACCCAAGAGGGAATTAAACTGAAATAGGATTTAGACAGAACACAACTACAAAAGTGAAAAGGAAATTACTAATGGAGTATTAATTCATCTAATTTATTTTCATAAAAGAAGCAACGAAATCTTTCAGGCTCCTAATTTCTCTAGCATGATGTAAAGAAAATCCATCCATCAGGAAAGCAGACAGACAGAATTTTGGTACTAAATGTGACATCACATCATGCTTCTCTAAGTCTAGTCTGTAACAGAAGGAATGCAGCCACTAATTTTATGTTTCTGAATGGTTAGATCGTTATGTGTTTCACTATATTCCTGGAGAAGTAAGCATTCCCTCTTTCATATGATTAGAATGCATTTGTACCAATGCCTGTACATGCCATTTCCATCTTCATGTCCAATCAACTAATTGCACAAGATCAATTCACTTAAGGATAGCTCAATAAATAGCTTTTAAATTCTAAGCCGTAAATCCTGTTCTACAAAACTGCACTAAACGGGCTTTAAATAGCTCAGAACTTGACACCATCTCCACTTATCATTAATGAGGCAGGCAGTTAATAGTTTTAAATGGCTAGAAAGCTGTTTGTACTTTCTAGAAAATCTCGCCAACAGCTTACTCGACAAATACTTTATATTAGCATAAAATATAACCTAAAATTGAGTCAAACGCGCTTCAGTTGGGTCATAGCTTGACTGAGTACCATCGTGAGCCAATTCGAAGGCACACATCTTCCAGTTCGACATTATGACCTGTAGAATCTTATCACATCTTCCAGTTCAACATTATGATCCATAGAATCTTAGTCATGGCAATCAATGCAACTTTCTAATCACACCCTTTTAACTCTCCCCAGCCCAGATTCAAAAAGCCTCATACTCGTTTAGTATAGGCAAAGAAAGTAACAAAAATCCTAGACTGCAAAACACAGGCATTGCACATTAGTACTGTACTTATCATTGTTCACTCACGTCCCATGTCCAACTAGAAATTGTTCTGCGCAGAACTTCATATTCCTATCACATGCCTAATTTCTATTTGGTCTTTATTTTGTTCAGAAATCAAAGATGTTCAAACTTCAAGCAGATAGATCTCAATAATATATCTAAGTAAATCCAACAACCTGGATCTATATTCTCCAAATTTTGTCATATTTACCCCTTAATTTAAACCCCAATAACAGAATTAACAACTCACCTCAATTGAGCAGAAACATTTTTTGTGCAAAAAAGCTGATCAAAGTAGAGCCAAATGTAATGCTGTTCTCAGCAAGAACATACCTGGATTCAAACTCCTTGATCTCAGCAAGTTCTTTCCCTATGTTATCCATCCATTGAACTCTCTTCTTGCCAATCTCCTTAGAAGAATTAGGGCTTTTCCTAATACAGCTTTTAAGATCATTTTCAGGAAGTTGGTTTCCATCTAAAGGACTCTCTTCTTTGACCTCAGCAGCAACAGATTGTTGATCAGAAACAAGTGTTGGAGTGACATGTGGGCCACTTTCCAGTTTCAATGGACCTGAAGTGTAAAGATGAGCAGCAGAGGGTTTACAGAAGCAAATAAATGGACAATGGATTTTGCAGAACAAAACCCTCATCAAACTGCTTTCCTTCATCAATAATTCATCTCAAGAATGACCAGTAGCAGCCCATTGCAAACAACCCCACCTAGTAGAATTCAAAAAAGATCCAATCTTTGACTTCATAAAGCAATTGAAACAACCAATTTTTCATAACAGAAACAATTAATTAATCCAATTACACTTTGAACTGACACTTTGTACACAGGAAATAATGATGTCCCAAATTCCAAAATCCAGCAGAAAATTCTTGTGCTTCATCCAAGTGAAGAAAAAAAAACTACTGAGCAGAAGAAAATAAAATAGAAAACAAAACTAGTGTATATATTTAAAGAAAGAAGCAGAACCAAGAAGCAATAGTTTTGGAATTTGGAAGGGTTCTGATTGTAAAATGAACACCTCTCAATCAATCATCATAATGTCCAGAAATTCTGCTTCTGTATTTGTTTTTTATTCTTGAGACTTATTTTAATGAAAAGAAAGGGACGTGTCTTGTAGTTACATACTACTTTTTAAGAGAGAGAAAACAAAGGTGCTTCCATCTAATGGTGAAATGACTGTCCTACCCTCTGATGATTCATTGATGTGATTCATTCACTTCACAAAACATCCACTTCCTCCCAAAGAAAAACCAAATCCAAATAATGGAAGGCAGAAGAATTCTATCTGAAGCTTGAGTTAAGTATCAGAAGGAACAAAAAGTAAGGTAAAGCTTAGCTGGAAGAAACTACCGGCTGATTTATGAAGAAGATGCATACCAAATTTCATAACACTCCAAAACATGGCAACTGTACCCTTCCCTGTTTATTTAAACTACCACACAAAAAATACTGAGATGTCCCTTTTGAAATTGAAAGCTGCTTTCTTTGTGGTGTTAGTAAGTCTTTTCTTATTTCTTTTTTCTATTAAATTGTCACCAACCACCATGATAATAATATTTATTGTGAACATCCACTCATGTGTGATTTATAAATAACTTGGAACTTTGTACAAAGTACAAACAAACAAAGCTTATAAATAAAGAAATGAATAGGGATCTTCAACAAGGTCTTGGGAAGATTAGGTCAACAAGACAAGATATTGTACAAGAAAAAGAAGAATATATGCAAACAACCAAAGACAATGTTAGAGTTTTACTAAAAAAGATACATAGTGGTTTGCATGATGTAACCCCACTTTAAAAGTAAGCGTAACCAACTTTATTATTAAGTTATATATTTATTTAAGGGTAATAAGATAATGAGATTTGTGACTTAAAACAATACAAGAAGTCTTCAGATTGATATCCAAGGTCTTGCATATATATATATATATATATATATATAGTCCTTACTTTAACTTTCGTGTTTCCTCTTTTTAGTTTTCCTTTCTTTTCTTGGTCATATTGACTTCATTTAAAATGTTTTTCGACAGAACCTTTTTTTTCTTACATTTTATAATATCTATATTTACTTGAGTGTTGATGAATATATAGCATATCAAGGCATTCGAATTCGATTGGTGGGTTATGCAACCTTGTGTGAAGCCAGTGAACAAAAGAAAAGAATCTAAGTATTACTTTGAAAGGCAAACTATTTTATAGAGCATAACCTTGAGGGGAAGTGTTAAGGAAAGTATCATAAAAAATTATTTTTTAAAAAAATATTTTCTACTCTCTAAATAAATACTAAAAAAATTTTTTTGAAAAAAGTTCTTCACTCACCAACGAAACAAGAGAAAATAAATGATAAAATCACTCATTTTTCAGGATCGTACCAAACACACAAAAATAAAAATGAAAAGCAATTAAGGATATTGCACTGGTTTCTTCTCCTTAATTAATGGACGGGCAAATAACCTTTTAACGGTTCTTGGGGCCAAAACTTTTTCATTGCCTCCATTGCTCTCACTTTAGAAAGGCAGACAATAGTTTATCAATACACTTTTTCCTGTCCTGGCAATATTTCAAAGTAGACTACTTGATTAATCTTTGGTTTTCTTGGATTCATTTCCCATATAGCTTTTTATTATTTTCTTTTTCCTTTTGGCAATAGATATCATTTTCATACAATATATAGCCATTTATTACGCCCTTGTTTACTTTTGGCTTTTCTCTAAATTTAGATTCATTTCTCATGTTGTTACCATTTGGGGATTAATATCATTTCGTGCAAGCTAGAGCTACTGATCACGCTATTTATACTAGACAATATTGATTTCTTTCTCTTATGACAAAAAAGCTAAAAGAAGTTATTTAGTTGAAACTAGTAAGGTGTACAATTTCTGATGAGAGAATGGCTAGTGGGGTTGTAGTCTTCTTCTTCTTCTTTTTCTTTTTTTCCTTGGTTGACATGAGCAGAATTGTGGTCTTTTATTAAGCTGCGAAGAGCAAAAAAAAAAAAAAAAAAAAAAGGAAATTGTAGTCCGATGCTTATGAGATTAGTGACCAAATTTATCTCTTTTTTTACATTTTCTTTGTACTTCATATGAAAATCTTCCCCACTGGTAATGGTATTATATTCAGTAGTTACACAAATATTATGACTATGCATGAATAATTAAAGCAGGCCACTTGTTTATATAGCATTGCGATGAAGGTGGGGGCCAGTTTAGGATATGAAATGAAAATAGAACCAACCAAATGATTAAGAAAAGCCTATAAAGTTGAGAGCTTTTAAGGACAGAAGTGAAAATATTTCAATCTTTAGACACCAACTTCTTTTAAAAAAAAAAATTTTAACTTTTACCCCCAAAATTGGGACAAACGCATGGGGTAATGTATTTGATTGCGGAAGCAAAGTCTCAGGCTTCTTGTCCTACCTAAAGCCCTACAACCCTAGCCATCAATGATATGGTTCCAAAATCAAAAGCACCTCACGCTGATTTTAGTTGGGTATACTTTAGATTATAGCCTATGCATTATATATCGAGATTGCTCGTGGCAGTAATTATTACGAAAAGCTTAAAAGGAAAAAGGTAAGAAACAATTCATTAGTATGTGGCTTTTCAAAAGTTAAAGAGGAAGTTGTGTAATTACGACAATTACTAGGAAAGCGAGTGTAATTCTATCTTACACTGATATCCTAAAAGAATTCCATGCCCTGCCTCAGTATCATACAAAATAGTGTTAGATGTCAATTTTTATTGGTTTTTACCCGAATATTTTTATTTTATTTTATTTGGGGGGGAGAAGAGGGGTAGTTTGTTTAAGACTTCGTCTTTCATTCATAGTATCATACTATGAATGAAAAGACACGCGCGAAATTAGTATCTTTTTTATTGTTATTACACTAAGCAGCTGCTTGTGGAAAGGAGCAAGCCAGCACCCTCAAAAATATAAGAAGGAACTAATTAATAGTACTAGCATTTATTATCTTTTTTCGTCGATCAGATATGGTGTACCTGGTACAAGAATGGCCAAGGTAAATATAATAAAACCACGCACACTTGTCAAGTTACAGTTGACCAAACCTTTTAAACGACAATGTCCTATTATTAGAACAGTAAGGATCTTAAAGGGGGGGAATTTTGAGTAAACATAAAAAACCCCGACTATTAGACATGAAAAAGCTGAAAACCCCAACTTTTCTTCTAAATGATGGGAAGAACACTTACAACTTTCACGGAAAAAATGATTTATTATCGACGTTTTTGCTCAAATTCAACTTTCTCAGGCAAAGGCAACAATCCTGGCTCAAAATTGGCGAACTTTGTGTAATAATCAACTCAACCACTCTTCATGAAACTATTGTTGAATCTTGAGGACTGGGAAAGCAATAACATCGCGGATGCTTGCAGAGTTTGTCAGAAGCATTACTAGCCTGTCAATGCCAAGTCCCTGAAAATGGATGTCATCCTTTAGTTTAAATGATTCAAATAATAAACAAGTTTATGAGATACTTAGTTTTTTGCTGATCCAAAATTTTGAATCATACAGTGTATAACCAGAATATCGAGCAAACTGTATCAAAACATGGTGCATTTGACAGAATGTTTCAATTGTCCTGTCTTGTAAATCACCAAAAACTAGAAGTTTCATTTGTGGGCAAAACTATGCATTTAAGGAGAAAATTTAGTTACTATCACATAGACATAGTTGTCCATTTTGCTGGATATTTTATAATATGGTTACAAAAGGATATAATCTGTGTAAGACGAAATACAGGTAAGCGGAACACCAAAGGTAGCTGCACCATTTAGTAACTATGAATTCCATGAAAGAGATTGGCTCAACATACCATTCCAGAAGCTGGAGGCATTCCATATTCCAAAGCTGTGAGGAAGTCTTCGTCAAGAGTTACTTCATACGAGTCATCATCATCATCTTTGTTCTCTTGTCCCTCTGAACCAGCCTTATTTAAAACTGATGCCGCTTTCTTCTCATTATGCTGCTTCACTTGCTCTTCCAAGCGTCTTCTCTGCAGCAAGTTACAACAGAACAGTAAATCTTGTTCTGCATATATAAGCAAGTTACAAGGCTTGAATGTATTACAGCATTGATATGTTTTCATATGTAAATGAGCTTCCTAGTATATATATAGGAATTTCAATAGATTATAGTGGGTTTCAAATGGTTCAGCTTTCCTGCGTTATTGGAAATCCCACCTAATATGGCTATATGAGAAGATGTTCATTGATTCAAATCATAGAAGCCCCAGATTTTGCCCACCAACAATTCATGCCAAGCACGGGTATAAGTATTGGTAAGCAAATTTGCAACCGGAAGGCCTAAAAGAAGCGCAACAAAATGATATATTCGATCCAAGCAATTCTCACAAACCAACTAGCAGAGATTCTTAGAACAGCTGGAGTAACTCCAAGTAAGAAGCATGATAGGATGTAACAGGAATTGTGTCTGGGATAGAGTGGTTTCCCTGTCCTATCGGTGGTATAAGGCCATATGCTCTTTCATGATATTCTATTGTACCCATCTTGAGCTATCTTTAAAGAGATTGGAAAGCCCTAATAAAACATTCTGTTTAGCTTGAAGGACATAACCACTTCTTTCTACTCTTCTTCCTTGAGAATAAAGCCTTCATCTTTCTATCGCCAAAACATAAGTTCCGAAGCAGGGAACTCAAATCTAGTAGATTTTGCTAGCTTGAAGAACCCAGACTTCTTTATAAAACTCTTCTTCCATGTTTAAAAGAAAATTCTTCATCTTTTAACCCCAACACAAAAGGTTTTATGCACAGAAATTCAGACCCAAGGAATTGCTCAATGTAAACTTGAAATGCATCCTAAGTATGAACTCTTCAGCAAGAGAAAGCACATGTGCCTGCCTTTTTCCAATGATATCAGCTTACACTCCTCTGCACGTCTAGAAACACAAAAGTGAATCAGGAAAGGACATTTCACAACCAAAAAGATTGTCATTGTCCGCTGTCATTGCCTTGATTAAAGCCAGTATCCGTCTCTCAAAGAATTGGTGAAAATTCTAAAAAGAAAAATCATCCACCCGTTGTATAGGAATTGACAATCCATCATTTTGATAATATGGTGGCAAGAGATTCTTTCGCTTTATCAAATTAAAACATACAGACAAGCAAGCAGTTTCAAGATTTCAACACCAGAATACCTGGTCCAGAGGATCAGTTAATTCTGAGAAGGCATTCGCTAGCTCGCGACCACAAATGAATAGCTCGAATCTCTCAGTTAAGCCTGAATGCCTGAAAAAACAAACATCATGTAACAAGAAAGTCGATGTGTATAATAGAAGTGAAAAATAGAAGCAGCTTCCTTTTGTAATATATTACACAATCCAATATTCATTTGAAACAAAACATTACAAGATCCAATCTTAACTTCAGGAAACTGACAGCGGAAAAGCTCTAACGACATCAAGAATCAGCATAAAGAGTGCTTATACCAGAATCCATATCATTTAAACAACCTAAGAAACTGAATAGCAGAAAGGACAGCAGAGCATCTTTTGACAAAGGAAGATCGCATTGAGTTGAAGCAAATGATACATGGAAGCCAAAACTACTAGACATGACCTCAAAAATTGTGTTCTGCCAAATATAATGTATTGGAGATTTCAGTATCAAACTCAAATATTTAGAAACATCTCAGAAAGCAAAAGCCAGTAACTTTTACTTGTAACAGAAGTACAAGAGTGAGTGATAATTCAGAAATTGATCATGACGTCAGAACTTTCATGTAATAAAGAAGTGATTAAAGACTGACATTCACACAAAGCAGCGAGGGACTAGTCATCTAATCCTAGGAAAATGCAGCATTAACTCGAGAAACGAAGGTGATCTGAAACGAGCTTCATGTATTATTTCAGATGAANCACCACCACCCCCAACACACACACCCCACCCCAAAATGAAAATGTGAGTTGTGTAGTATATGTTGGTGGGAACATGTGGAATCATTTATTGACTTATGTGTATTTGGAGCACAAAAAAAAAGGAGCTTACCCAGTGCACTCCAAGTGTGAGGGTAAGGGGAGAGTGGTGTATACCCTATGCCTCCTTCCATCTAGAACTAGTGACCTAGAGATCTCCATTTTGGAACTGTCTGAAGAAGGAACTAGGTAATATTTTGAGACATAAAGAGTATCTCCTTTTTTTGCTACATCCTTTCGTTTTCGTTCTTATTTGGTAGACAATTTATCATTTTCTTCAACTATTAAGCACATGCTGCCTTAGAAAGATCCTTGATGTTTAAAAAAAGATATCTGAAGAGAGCACCCCCAGGTAAGTTGTTTCAACATTCAAAAGAGAGCCAAAAGAAAGGTCCATTTGACTGCTAGTGTGAGAATTCAATTGATGGTTCAGTACCTTCTATGTGGTTTGGCCAGTGGAGATATTTCAATAGGATAGTCCAAGACAAAAGTCGGTTGTAGAAGCTTTGGTTCTACTATCATCTCAAAGACCTGAAAATGGTTACAACACAAAGCAAATTCACATTAACAAACCAGCTTAACCAATAAGGTGCTCTCGCATTGACATGTGGTTTAAAGCTGCTAATTCTATGTATCTGCAGAAGGGAACATCAAAGATTCTAAAGAACACTATTCAACCTCATTAAGCAAATGGCCAACAGAAGAGCATGCTTCAATTGAACCCTTATCCAGATCATCACCAAGAATATCAATCGCTTTACGAGTATGTTCTTTAGCAGCTTTAAGATCATCACCAAAGTTATTAAAATCAATCCCGGTAGCTTCTCTCACAAGATTATGCATTGTCTCCCTCCTCCAAGGTCTTTCCAAGCAGATCTCCACACCCTGCAAGAAAGCATGAAGTTTGATTCCTTAGATTAAAGTTTAACAGGTAATAGGGGGAAGAAAAGAAATACCAAAAGTGAGAACCAAAACCTATTAAGCATCAAACTAATGATTCACTAAAAAGTTAGTTCAACCCAGTAAATATATGTAACTGGACCATGTATCCATAACCAGTGCTAAATCATTTTACACATTCTCCAAGTAAACATATGCAGCACATCAAAAGACATGACGTGGGATCCCCAGAAAAGATCAAATAAGACAAGATGCTTTGCTACAACTCAAGGAAACAGGTCAGACATGTGGAGAGCTGTCAACCCCAAAGAGTAACTAAAAATGTTTAACCGGCCATCTTTGGGCCAAAATTATTCTGCCGTTCAAAATTATTTTGTTATGATGAGAGAATATTATATCACGGCGCACAAGATGGTCGAATACGGAAGATCAGCACTAGGAATGGAAACTCAACAGGTGCCACACAAAAGCATGTAATTCCATTGAGAAAGATGAAGTTCACATGATCCCTCCTATTTCTCAAGCGCATCCTTATAGCCAGATCAAGGAAGAACTAGGTTGGCTTCCAAGGAATCTAAAAGAACAACAAAGCCAGATGCTTGCACGCTCAATCAATTCTCAATATTAGGTCCACAATATAAGAATGGTTGCCACACCTATTCCTGTAAATGACTAGTTAATAGAAATCATCATGACAGAGAAGATACATGAATGTGCAAAGAAGAATCACCAATTTCAAACACTACTGAAGAAGATTATCCAGAGGAAATGGTACTCACCTGATAATCAATTAAAAGTTTCCCATTAACTGCTAGGGCACATCGTGTCACCATCTCTTCTGTCATATTCATCATGCTTTCATAGTCCGAGTATGCTTCATACATCTAAAACCAACAATTGAAATGATTAATGATCAATTTGCAGGACAATAATTTGATTATACATTCTACGAATGGATTTGTAAATTCGCTTTAATGCCCCATAAACCAAAAATAAGAAGTCTTTTGACAAAGAGCTGTTACCTCTATGGTGGTGAATTCAGGATTATGTCGAGTTGAAATGCCTTCATTGCGGAATATACGGCCAATTTCATAAACTTTTTCGAATCCCCCAACCTACAGTTACGTAAGAAATATGGACTGTTACAAAGAAATCAGAAGAAGCACAGCTCTTCCAGTAAGGGGGAAGGAAAATACAACAGAATCCTTTCCCTTCTTTGTCCTATGTGCACATATGCACACGACTAATCATGGTTCCAGCATCTACTCATACTTTTACATTTAGCTCCAGGAAGAACTAAATAGTTAANTACAGAAGAAAGATGAGGACCAATAGATAGAGACAAATAGGAATAACCGAATTTCTAGTTTTTACACTAACAATTTCTAGTTATTCCCTTAATTTCGAACACTTTCAAAAAATGTAATCACTTCATATTTCAACAATGCACCACTTAAAATTTGATCAACTTGTAACTACAACTGTCCATGGCTACAACAATGCACTTCCCCCAGGTTTTCATTCAAACTAGTGGTTTTCCTGCTAAACAACAATATTTGTTTACTCATTGAGAAGGTGGATGATGATTGTTTCATTTTGCTCTGCCCATTAACCTATTTTCTAATTAATCCAATCATGTAATTCTACATCTTATCTCAAAAAGAAAGAAGATTAATGAGTGATAGAGAGGAAGATCTGGATGTAAAATAAGAGCAGCTGTTTAACTTGGGCCAATCCTTACAGGAATGACCTATTGACCTACAATTAGCTCAACAGGAGCTTGGAACAGCTTCAAAGGCTTGCACTGAATAAGTGCAAGGCAGAAATAGCAAGGGAAAAAGCTAACACAACAAGAGATGACTAAGCACAAACAACATCCCAACCAAGGGCTTCAACAAGCTAGAGAACCGAATAACAACCAATGTGCGCTTGGTTAAGCACTAGGTACTGAAGTAGTTATTGGTCATATGCAAGTATACAGTAGCTTAATTTATACAGGTAACTACAAAAGGAGCTTCTGGGATTTTTGATTGTGCACACACTGCAGCTTAATTCTTAAAGTATTTACAGTATTAAAAAAGTGCCTCTAAGGTAATCATGAGGATGCAGTGCACAAAGGATAATAAAGTGCTTATGCGAGAGTAGATGTGATTTTGAGGACTCTAGGAGGGATTCCTAGAATTCCAAAGTTCTCCTACCTTCTTGCCCACAACTATTACTATTGTGTGATCTAAATCTAGGACCCAGTTTGCAAATCTCATTTGCATGCATATTGCACTAACAAAGTGACTTGTAACATTAAGACGCTAAACCCTAACACAATAGCCTTGTCATAGGCTCATGGCCCACTAGTAAGGGAAGAGATTAATAAGGAGAGAGGATACAGCTTTCCCCTACTCTTCAGTATGGTCCCTAAAGCTCCAAGTTTGGCTGGAAGCACCAAGGTTTATCCTTACAGCTGAGAACTTGAGAGAAAGAAGTATGACACACACAATCTGCTCATATGCGTACAAGAGATTGGGAGGAGTCGTGGATCTCTCGCTGGTGCAGTGTCCGGGTAGCGTACCACCAGAAAAGATTTGCTAATCAGCTCGGCTTTGAGAAGGAGAAGTGGAGCTTAGCAAGTAGTTCCTCTAACTCTTATGTGGACAATCTGGATAAAGAAATAGAAGGGCTTTCGAAGGGATGGAGAACTCTTCTTTACAAACTAGGGGGTCCTTATTTTCTATAAATTTTTGGTGCACATATATGATTTCAGATAGTACATATGACTAGGTGCAATTCCCACAGAATCACATTTTTGTTTAGATTCTCTACTTTTTGCATGCCACTTGTATAGGGAGAGTTCTTGCCACTAAATCAATTCAATAGTTACTTTATTGAAAAAGGAAGAGATTAACCTAGGTCTCATCTAACTCCTTCCATTAAAAGATATTTATGGGGATTGGTCGGTACCTCTTTCTCGTATCAAGCAATACCAGTTAAAAAACCTATATTCCCTGAACAACAGGAGCAACCATTCTGCTGCATCTAACACTTGGAAGCAGTGGTGGAGCCACATGTATTCAAGGGTGTCAATTGACACCCCTTTGCCGAAAAATTACACTGTATATGTAGGTAAAAATTCTTGATTATGCATATATACTATATATTGACTCCCTTTGGCTTCTTCATTGGTTTACTTCTTTATATTTTGACACCCCTTAATAAAAATTCTGGCTCCGCCACTGCTTGGAAATTTACAAAAGCAAATATTATAACACTGAGAGCATAATATACTATTTCATGGAAGAGTAGCTCACAAGCTTCATGAGAAAAAAAACACTAAAAAGGAAAAATAAATCACAACTAAATAGGAGATAACATTTGCCCATACAACCAAAAGGAAATTCACAAACCTGGAGAACAGGTGTTTCAACTTCCACAAAGCCAAAAGATTCCACTGTCTTGCGTATTTCTGATACAATCTACTGAAGGAAGGATTAAATCAGCACGGAATCTAGTGCATATTTTCAATAAGAAAAGAAGAAAAAATATTATGCATTTACAACATTCATTGTACTTAACCTTATCAAAAAAAAAACATTCATTACTGCCCATTGCAACAGAAGTTCTAGAGAAAGTAGCACTATTAGTCTACTACACAAGTCTCCACCATAGGTAATTCAAGAAAGACAAAACAATATAGCATTAATCAGCAAAAGGCTATCTGAGGTTAACTTCATGCGAGAGATTATCACAAATTACTTAAGGGAAGATTCAAACAAACAATGCCAAGACAATATGAACTGAAAGCATTTTCCTTTATACTACAAAATTCCAAGTATAGTCTTGTAGATTTGTGCTTTATTTGTTAACTGTGGTTATAAGTGCATTATTTGAAAGATGACAACTTTGCTATGAAAATATATAAATATCATGAAAGCTACAATAATAAGCTGAAAGTAGCTTAAAAGTTAGAGCTTGAACTGAGCTCTTTATAGCTCATGATCTCTTTATAGCTCATGATCTGTAATATTTAGACACGTCGATCCTCAACAAAGCAGAGGCTTTAAAAAATCAAAAGAAGAGACAAAAGAAAAGAACCCCGTTCACTGATGACGAAAAAAATACCTTATCTATATCATTCTTTTAATAAGTCAGATCTCATTTATATGATTTACTACATGCATTTCTGAAATCATCAATCACCAGCGGGGAAAATAAATGCATGTTTAAAAGGAATGTTTAAAGTTCCAGCCTGCAATATTACCCATAATAACAAAATTACATTATGATCTAGTCACCAATTGTTAAGAAATAATGAGATAAAACAGGAAGAGGATGTCGACCATCAGAGAACTAGAGACCAAAGTAATAACACAAAACTTTATGCGCAACTTAACTCCCAAAACTGATGGAGACTCCAGTCATTTTATTCTGCAAGGAGAAAATAGAAGGAAAATTTGCAGACTAACGATCACAAATTATTAACTCAGTAAATCTCCATACTGCTGGGAAAAAATAATTTACTGAAAGGTTTTTACAGTTCAAGAGGTAACCAAATGATGATAAGAGAAAGATAGTATTGTACTTTTGACATAACAGTCAGAAGAAATAAATAGCTAACTAACCTTTGCCCTCTTGCGAAAAGTATCAGCCACCTCAGGATTTGCAATCATGTCTACATACCTAACACAAGCAGCAAGGAGAATGAACACACCCTGATTTTGGAATACCAGCTATCACAATTTGCTCCATGTTATAATAGCACGTGCCTCAATAACTTTTTTAAGCAGCAGTAAAGAAAATTAGACATTTTACTGGTTTCCTCCTTGTATGCATAAGACTCACGAGAAGAAAGGCAGAGAAATGTTTGTAATAGAAGATATTCTCTCCCGAAACCCAATATTGAAAAAAGTTGTAAGATATGCCAAAGGCCCAAACCTAAGGTAGATTGCATATTTTCCTTTGCTTTAGCTACTTTAAACGATCAACTTATGTGAAAGTAAAAAAGCAAAGGCCCCACGGCTTCGGTTTAGCGGTAAAAGCGCAGCGTGTGATGTGTGGATGAGGAGCATGTCACAGGTTTGAAACCTGTCGCAAACAAAAGGCCTGGTTGTTAATTGGAGAGGAATAAAGGGTCAGGCCCTATCGATCAAGTTTCGATCCGTTCGCCACTGGCCCTCATGAATTTCTCGGCTATCAAAAAGGAAAGTGAAAAGCAAAATACAAGCAGAACTGATAGCAAGAATAAGAGGCAATGGCACCAGCCACAGATGCAGAAAACACCTGGAGAGCAACTTATAAGAGTCGCTCATGTACCATCTGCCATTATTGACCAGAGTATCTAAAGTTACTCTGGCTAAAAAACCTGTGACAATCATATTATGTATTCTAACTGAAAAGATACAAATTTAATTGCCAAATAACCCACTCTACAGAATTGCTATGATAGTTGTGCAGTTACCCTTCCAATAATGAGTCAGAAGTTGCAACTAGAAGCTTCAATCACAAACTTGTGCAAGAAAGGAAACTCACCTCTGTCGATAGCGCTTGTCTACATCTGTTAAGCCATGATATTTGTCCGGCAATGGAAGCAATGACTTTGTGAGAATCGAGAATGAGTTCACACATACAGATAGCTCCCCTAGAAAGAAAACAGTAAGAGATACTTCAATGAAAAAGGCTTCAAGACTTCATGACAACAGCTCAAAAAATAACAGAAACAAAGTTTAAGAAGATATGATTTATGTATTTGCAAAAACTAATTACTCAAAATAATGCAGGTCATTTTCAGGATTTTGGAATCATAAACCAAATCAAACAGAAGTTGCAAGCGTATACAGAATCTGAAGAACGAATTGATGCTAGTGACTAGAAGGAAGTGAATATTAAGAGCATGCTACGCCAACTACAGATTTCCATCTTAGGCCTGTATAGGATACCATAACTGTCTCATTGCTCATGTATATATCTTCTGCTTCCTTAAAAGTGAAAATGCAAGCACTGGAGATAGGATGACATCCACGGATGAGTCGGTAACAAGTGTCTAACGAACCATACACGTGGTCAAAAATATGTGTTTTGCCGAAAAATTGTCAACTTCCCTTAAATCAGGGTTGTGAAAAGCAATCGCTTCCTCACTTAAAGCGAGAAGCGAAGCGAAGCGACCCTTTACCCGCTTCTACTATATGAAGCGACTCAGGTGGACAAAAGCATGCGCTTCCCACTAAAAAGCGAGAAGCGGCGAAGCGAAGCGACCGCTTCTCTGTTTTAAAACAGCTGCCAGCCTATTTAATTAAAAAAGAAGGGTGTACAGTGTTCTTTTATTAAAACACGACCAGCAGCAACAGAGATTCTAAGTAGGGTTCCCTTTTCAACTTCAACAGAGATTCAGCAGCAACAGGTATGTGATGATTTCCTCCTCCTCCTCCTCCTCCTCCTTTCATTGTTTCAGCGTCCAAATAGCAGCGAAATGCTGGCGAATATTTTTTTTTTTACCTTCGGTTCTTCTTTCTTAGTCTTCTCCTCTTCGTTGAAATGCTGCCCAGTTCTTCTTTCATTGTTTTTATGCTGCCCAGTTTTTAACAGAATGGTATACTGCCCTTCCTCTTATTTTTATATCCTTTATTCTTAGTTCTTATTGCCTTTCTTATGTGTTATGTAGTTGTTCTTTTAATGACAATCTTGTAGAAGAATAGGATGCTCATTTTGTGCTTTAATTAATGCTACTCTTTAGTTTTTACATTGAAGTATTGAACATTTGCTTACAGTTACATGTGTTGTCTATGTAGTATTTATTTTAATATTTTTTTTTTAAATTCCGCTTCACTTCAAAAAAGCGAGCGCTTCGCTTCTCGCTTTAAGCGAAATGGGGGTTGTCGTTTTTCCTCGCTTCACGCTCTTCACAACACTGCCTTAAATAAATAAAAAATTGATACATTAAATACCAGAGAAAAGAAAATTTAACTATACCTGCATTATTCTTCTAGACACAACTTTCTCTTCTATTTTATTCTTTTAGAACACAAAAATTAAATATGACCTTACATGTTTCTTAACAAATACTCTATTAAGCAACTCATATTTTAACTCCTCTTAATATTGATGCCAAGTCGAAAGGGATAAACAAATTGGACAGAGTGTACCAAAGTACGTATGTAAAACCTGCAAAGAAGTAGTCTTTATTCCTAGCTTAAATTTGACATGTTCTTTGATGTAGGGCAGCACTTAATCTAATAGATCTCTCATATATGTTCATCTCTAGGGTTGTAAGCAGCCTACTAAGTGGTCTCCTATGTACTGGGCTTTTTAACGTTCTTGTAACTGTCTTTTGTCTCGAAGCCCATGTTTATTCAACTTGTGCTTTTTCTTCACCTGAGCAAAGATATTGCCAAAAGAAGAAAAAAGACAGGAAATAAAAGAAAATTCCTCTCTTGATTGCAGCCAGAGAGATAGCAAAGAAGATGGGCATAAATCAAACTTTTGCTACACATATACCCCTGATGTGTCCTCCACTCCACATGCCTTCAGCATGTCAAGAAGAAGGCAACATTTTCTTATCGGGTTGCAAGCTCTAGTAGGATTTTAACCACTTATTTCTTCATTGCTCCTTCACGTCACAGATCTGGAGCCTCTTTTTGAATGTTCGTGGAGTTGCATGAACTATGCCTAAGACTGCAAAAGAGCTGCTGTTGGGCTGGAATTTACAAGGTCTGGGGAACGAAAACAGGAAATTTGGACCACCATTCCATCAGTAATTTGGTGGCTCATTTGAAAAGAAAGAACAAAGTGGAATCTGTAGTTAGCACTAAAAACAGATGTATAGCTTTGTTATTTTTTTTTGGTGCAATTGGTCTACTGCAAATGACATAGATGACATGGTTGATTTCTTGAGCTCATTACACAATCTGTAGTGTAGCTATCTCTTGTAAACAGTGTTATCAAAGGCTTAAGCCCTAAAGCGAGGCTCAAAACATGTTGAGTTTCAGTGTTGTCATCAAGGCTCTAAGGCATATTTTTCCTGGCCAACGAGCGTAATCCTGAAGAGGCGACACTAAACAATTGATATTTCACTTTATCATAAAAAAAAATTCAATTTCTTTGTCCATATATTTGGTAATGCTTACAGATATTAATCTTGGACGACACATACATATTTGTTGTTTTTCTCCATTTGCGGCTTTCTTCATTAAAGCCCACGCTTTATTTGAGCTTTACGCTTAAAGCCCCAACAGACCTTAGAGCTTTTTTTCACTTTTCGCCTTTGATAACACTGCTTGTAAATATTTTACAGCACTTGTTGCTGTATTTCAATGAATTACTTTTACCAATCAAAAAAAAAACTCTAGTAGGATTTTAAAATTTTCAGCGGATAATGGGCAAAGCCTGCTCTTATTTTACGACAGTAGGGACGATTGCTTCCATTACTTATCAGAAAGACTCCAAATTCTCCTTTTGGTGCTTCAACTTTGTAATCTTTCCTATCCTTTAGGCGGGGTTAGGTTTTTAGGAGGACTTGGTTACATAGGAAGGAGATCCAAACAAACAATAAGATGAAAATGAAGAGGCGGAGAAGGATTCACATATTTCGCAACACTACCAAAAGCAACAAAAAAAAAGGTGCACAAATGTCTTTATCAACCAAATATGTGATAGGTATAAATTGTTCAAGGATCTAAACTGTTGAATACAGAAGCAAGTGAACCTATTCATAGAAGAAATAAGAATGGATGTCAAAAGTAGAACCCTGATGGGCATAGACATGAAATTACCTTTCTCTGTGCGCTTGATTGAACCATTTGCCCCCAATATATCACCAACATCAACAAGCGTCTTCAATTGCTCAAACTGATCATTTACAAGCCTTTCCTTCTCACAATAAAGCTAAAACCAACATTAACTTATTTCAGTAGAATGCAACATTTTTCTATTTGAAGATTGCTAAATTTAAAGGTAAAATATCAATGCTAATTCAGAAATACAAGAAAATCTCTTATAACAGGATCTAGCAATATATCCCAAAGAGGTTTCTAACATGTAAAATGTTAACTGAACCTGAAAAATTCAAGCAATTGCAATCTCAGTTTCTTGAGCACAAAAATGCTAAGAGCTAGATAAGAAGCACATGAGATGTGCTGTTTAAAATGAATAAGCAGTTGAAAACTTCGCACATCAAACAGACGATAGAAACTATGAAGGACTGAAAGTATCCCTGAGACATGTCCGTAATCCATATCAAGCACTCACTCAGGCGATTTCAACAAATCTAGAAAAGAAACCAATTACTAGAACCATCAAACATATTTAAATAGATGTCTTAAAAATTTGTATATTTATAGTAATGCAGCACTATGTTGTTTGTATAGTAATGCGGCACTACAGCTATTGACTCTCTACCTCCATTAGGTAAGGGTAAGGTCTGCGTTCAGACTACCCTCCCCAAACCCCACCTGTTGGGAACATACTGGGTTTGTTGTTGTTTGTATAGTAATGCGGCACTACAGCTATTGCAGGCTTGCAGCAAGTAGACAGCAAGCAACGTAAAGTATCCCAAAAGCAAAAAACAGATAAAGTAGCCTATGGCAATATTTTATTTTATTTTGAAAAGGTAATGTAAGAATATGGCAAATATAAAAACCTGAATCATGCCAGAATCATCTCTTAAAGTTAAAAAGGCGAGCTTTCCAAAAGCTCTGCGAGCGACTATTCTTCCTGAGACAGAAACATAATCATTTTCACTATTCGACTCTTCACCATTTCCTAAATTCTTATAAATCTCTTGCAGTTGACCAGCAGTGTGAGTCCGGTCCCACTTGTAAGCATAGGGCTCCAAGCCATTGCTTCTCAGCTCTTCCACCTGCGAGTAAGCAGAAGACATTAGATTTGAAGATGAAATTGAAAGTTTACATTGGACATGGAATAAAGCCAGTCGAAAACGAAAAATGAAAAGATCAAGTAGTTGCTGGCTTTTGCTGGTACTAAACCACCATTAGTGGGAAAGATTAATGCAAAAATATTTTAATCCTTATTAAGTCTTAGGTAAAGAATGTAAGATAACTTCCATTACTCAGGGTGCTTGCCTTTACATGCTCTGAACTATGATGATGCATAAAATCTCAAGCTACGTTCGACAAGCGTGCTTTCATAAGACATAGTTACATCAATACAAGCTTAGATCTACCATGCATCTTGGTGTCCAAAGTCAGTTAGAAACTAGCATACGTGCTCATAATAAAACCAATATTCATAAAGACTTTGACGTCAAGATATCCACCAGGTATTGAGGTCCAAATGTTTTCTTTCCAGAGAAACTAGCATACGTGCTCATAATAAAATCAAGATTCATACCCAGAAATTTAAATAGGTTCACAAGTGATCCTTTTACCCCAATAAAAAGAATAGTTACAGATGGAAACTCTATAGCTAAGTACTCCCACCATCCCAATTTATATCACTTCTTTCAATTTATAACGTCCCAAAATGTTTTGACACCATTCCTTTTCTATAAAACAGGTATAAATTTTCAAAAATTCAATTTAATTAGACCATTCAACATTTTCTATAACCTTTCATATCAAACTAACTTTTAAACCATTGCTTCAATATTTTCCACCATCATTATTATTATAATATATGACTTGAACTTTGTACCCAATCAAACACCGTCAAATGGAATGGAGAGAGTGACTAGTTGTGAGAGGGTGTTTTACTGGTAAAATATAACTTTTAAATGGCCCCAAGTACGTCAAGAAAGCATTTCTTCTTATTCAACTTAGGATTATTTTTCTTGATAAGATAAGTTAACAAGACTCAGATTGATTATCCCCTCCTCAGGAGGTGTGATAAGGGGTTATGCGAGGATTGTAAGGTGATCCCGAGTGAGAACCTCGCGACACAACATAGACTTCTGGTGATGGACGTCGGTATCTAGATAAAGAGGAAGAAGAGGTTTGTACTGGGTCAACCGAGGATCGGGTGGGGAGTTTTGACTAAGGACAATGCGCAGGAGTTGGAGAGGCGGTTAACGGCTATGGGGGCCTGGAAGAGTAGTGAGGATGCTAGCATTATGTGGACGGCAACGGCGGAATGTATAAGGGAGGCGGCGAGGGAGGTGTTAGAGATCTCGAAGGGCTACTCTAGCGGGCACCGAGGCGACTGGTGGTGGAATGACGTGGTCCAGGGTAAAGCGGAAGCAAAGAAAGCTGCATACCTTAAGTTAGTGGAGAGCACCGACGAGGAGCAGAGGAGAGCGAACAGAGAAAGATATAAGGAAGTTAGGAGGGAGGCAAAACTAGCGGTCACGGAGGCTAAGACAGTTGCATTTGGTCAGCTGTAAGAGGAACTGGGGGCCAAAGGCGAGTACAAGAAGTTATTTCGGCTGGCCAGAGCGAGAGAGAGAAAGGCTCGTGACCTGGATCAAGTTAGGTGCCTCAAAGACGAGGAAGGTCGTGTATTGATGTAAGAGGCCCAGATTAAGCAAATATGGCAGTCGTACTTTTATAAACTGTTGAACGAAAAGGGGGACAGAAGCATCGTGTTAGGGGGATTGGGGCACTCTGAGAGTCGCCGAAACTTTAGGTACTGTAGGCGTATTAGGGTTGAGAAGGTCGTGGAAGAGATGCGTAAGATGAGTCGGGGCAAAGCGACCGGACCAGACGAGATCCCAGTAGAATTTTGGAGGTATGCGGGTAGAGCACGCTTGGAGTGGCTGACTAGGCTGTTTAATGTTATTCTCAGGACGAAGAGGATGCCAGATGAGTGGAGGTGGAGTACGCTGATTCCGTTGTACAAGAACAAAGGTGATATCCAAAATTGTAAAACTATAGGGGTATCAAGTTACTGAGTCATACCATGAAAGTTTGGGAAAGGGTGGTAGAAGGGAGGGTAAGGAGGGCGGTGTCTATATCAGAGAACCAGTTCGGGTTCATGCCGGGTTGTTCTAATACGGAAGCTATCCATCTTATTAGGAGGTTGGTGTAACAGTACAGAGATAGGATAAGGGATTTGCACATGGTGTTTATTGACCTAGAGAAGGCGTATGACAAGGTCCCTAGGGACGTTCTTTGGAAATGCATGTAGGTGAAAGGTGTACCGATAGCTTATATTAGGGCGATAAAAGATATGTATGATGGAGCTAAGACCCGGATTAGGACAGTGGGAGGTGAGTCAGAGCCTTTTCCGATGGTTATGGGGTTACACCAAGGATCTGCGCTCAACCCGTTCTTATTTGCCCTGGCGATGGACGCACTGACACACCATATTCAAGGGGAGGTGCCTTGGTGTATGTTGCTCGATGATGATATAGTTCTGATTGATGAGACGCGAGGCGGCGTTAACGAGAGACTGGAAGAATAGAGGCAGGCCCTGAAGTCTAAAGGTTTCAAATTTAGTAGGACCAAGACGGAATATTTGGAATGCAAGTTCAGCGACGTGTCGGGGGAAGCGGATGTGGATGTGAGGCTTGACTCACAAGTCATCCCTAAGAGAGAGTTTCAAGTACTTAGGGTCTATTATCCACGGAGATGGGGAGATCGACGGGATGTCACGCACCGTATCGGGGTGGGGTGGATGAAATGGAGGTTAGCGTCTGGAGTCCTGTGTGACAAGAATGTACCACCGAAACTTAAAGGTAAGTTCTACAGAGCGGTGGTTAGACCGGCCATGTTGTATGGGGCTGAGTGTTAGCCAGTCAAGATTTCACATATCCACAAGATGAAAGTAGCATAAATGAGGATGTTGAGATGGATGTGCGGGCACACTAGGATGGATAAGATTAGAAATGAGGATATTCGGGAAAGGGTGGGCGTGGCTCTCATGGATGACAAGATGCGGGAAGCGAGTCTTAGGTGGTTCGGGCTTGTGCGGAGGAGGAGCCTAGATGCTCCGGTTAGGAGGTGTGAGCGTTTGGCTCTGGCAATTACGAGAAGAGGTAGAGGGCGGCCTAAGAAGTAATGGGGCGAGGTGATCAGGCAGGACATGGCGCAGCTTCAGATTTTCGAGGACATAGCCCTTGATAGGAAGGTGTGGAGGTCGAGCATTAGGGTCGTAGGTTAGGGGGTAGTCGAGCATTTCTCCTCGCTGCATCAACTAGTCTAATAGTGTTTCGTATAGGACTGCTAGCGGTTTTTGTTGTGTTTAACATTTTATTTTATTTTATTTTATTTATTTTTATTTTTTATTTTTTATTTTTTTGTCTTTCACATTTTGGCCTTTCCATTTATTTGTTGTATTTTACGATGTTGATACTATTTTTTTGGTTTCAGTTGTGGTTACGGATCTATTGTCTTTGAGCCGAGGGTCTCCCGGAAACAGTTGAGTAAGGTTTGCGTACATTTTACCCTCCCCAACCCCCACTAGTGGGATTCTACTGGGTTGGGTTGTTGTTGTTGTTGTATAAGATAAGTTAACATAAACTGCACCAAGTAGGTGCTGATACATACCTCAGCACACTTATAATTGCAGGGCACTGAGGAAAACCATATTTGCCTAATCATATGAATTTAGCAATTTACACCAAAAAGCCAAAAAATACAAGCATTTGTATTTGATCTTCTATACTGGTTCTGCTTTTCTTTCAAAACACCTTGAATTCTGTTCACTCAAGAAATGCATAGTGGGATGATAGACCCATATGCTTCTGAGCTCTTCGTCAAGCTCCTGAGAGAGCAGCACCAGAGTACTTCTTTAACTGACTTTGGAATGACCCATGTAAGCCTAAGTAAGCTTCGGAACATGTCCCAGATTCTTAGGCCAAGCATGGGAGATAGGACTATAGTGTAAATGCAGTTCCAGAAAACACAAAGGAATCTGCCTTGTTGACATTAATCAACAAGAATTACAAGTCAATACAGAATAATTGAAGCATGCAGTAATACTATGTACAACTACTAATCTGAATTCTTAAAGGTAATGGAAGTCCAATGAACCTCAAGCTAAAAAGAGCGGACAAGTTTCCACAGCTGTACTTCTGTCTAAATTAACTTATCACCTCAAGATTATATGAGGAAACCACAATAAAGATATGATCAAAAAGTGAAAGCAATGACAAGTTAAGCATAAAGGGAAATCAATGTTATCTGATCCATATGGCAGTTATTGTTATGTCAAAAATTCTTGTTAGAAAACATTTTATTACTGATCGAATAGTGTAGAAAAAGTTACAGAGGATTGCATAGCTTACCCCCAAGTATATTGGTAATGAGGCCTAGTTAATTGGATTGATTGATTACAATATAATCGATTGTAATGACGCCAATAGTATTAGAAAGCACTCCGGTGTATAATTTCCATAACTACTAAACAAGACCATTGTGATAAAGATACAATTTTTACACTGACCATAGTCACAATTTTTACACTAGTTTTTCACCTAAATTCTAGTCGTAATTGGAATGGCCATAAATTGACAAAAATTAATAACAAAAAGTGAACTTTACAAGAAACCAGTAATAGTTTCAGTAACCTTGTTGATGCGTATGGCACGAATAGCCTCTTTATCGGAAGTGGAAGTAGAAGTGCCGGAATTGGACCTACGGTTGCGGCCGCCGGCTCTACCGGTAACTGCAGCTGCAGTGGCGGCAGAAGAAGAAGAAGAAGAGCAGCAACGAACAATGAAGAAAGGAGAAGGGGGTCGAAATCTATGAGACCTAAAAGAAGCAAAGTGGATAAGTTGCTTCAACGGCTGCAGGGCTTCCATTGTTGCACTTCTCTTCTTGTTCCCCCCAGAAAGCACTATTTATAATTTCTTCCCTGATTTTTTCATTTAAATCGAAAATACGTCTTGAAATAATTTTAATTCAATAGTATCTAAAATTGTTTTTTGAGAATATAAATTTCTTATCATGATAGGCAACTAAATACTACATCTTCAACAGAAAAAGAGAAGTTTGAAGTTTGTACATTTTTCTATTATTTGTTTTTAACAGTATATTTTTTATCGAAATAGAAATATGAACAATCTCGAATGGACAAATTAAAAAGATTACTTTTGAATTTTCAGTTTTAGTTAGCGTAGGGTATCCACTGCATTATGTTAGTCACATGAGCTAATTAACTACGATTGATGGCGAAGAAAATTATCCTTTTTAATGTTAAAATAAAATCCTTTATAACACATGTCCTTAATTTTCGTGATATATTTGTTTGATTACACACTCCCTCACCTTACTCAAGCTCGAGATGAGCAACAATGGAGGTGAGAGATATAGAGAGAGTGCATAACGAGGAGAGAGAAGAAAAATATTTGGAATGAGACAACCGACTTTATTTGATATTTGTATTGACAATATATACAAAATTGCCTAACTAAAAATGAATAGCTAAAATAGCCTCTTTACAAATTAACTAACTAGCCATTTTACAAGTATATAGCCACTGGTTACATAATTAACCATCTCAACACCCCCTCCCCCAAGTTGGTGGTGTGAAAAATACTGTCAACTTGTGCAAAACTGCTGAATGTTTAACGCCTGTTAGTGCCTTAGTTAGAACATATGCAAGCTGGTCTGTAGTTCCTACATGATGCAGTGAAATCAGCCCCTCTTGTAGCTTACTTCTCACAAAGTGACAATCTACCTCTATTTGTTAGGTTCTTTCATAGAACACTGGGTTCCTTGCTATGTGCATGGCAGGCCCGCTATCACAAAACACTGCAATGGGCTTGAGGAAAGGAACTATAAGTTCTTCAAACAATCTACTAAGCCACAACAATTCCCCCCACTACCTTTCTTAGAGCTCTATATTCAGTTTCTGCAGAAGACAATGAAATGGTATCCTGCTTCTTGGATTTCCAGCTAACAGGACTGCTTCCCAATAGTAAAAGGTAGCCACTTAAAGATTTTCGGGAATCTGAGCATGTTGCCCAGTCAGAATCATAGTAGGCCCTGATAGTATAATTTGTATCTCTAGACATGAATATCCCCAGGGTTGGATCTCCTTTCAAATATCTAAGTAGATGAAAGGCTGCTTTCAAGTGAGGTTGTCTGGGGTCATCCATGAACTGGCTCAGATTTTGTACAATGTAAGTTATGTCCAGACTAGTATTGGTGAGGAAATTGAGCTTCCCCACTAGTTTCCTATAGTAAGTAGGATCAGTCACAGCCTCTCGTTCTTTTGCCTTGAGCTTGGCTATTAGGTCTAGTGGTGAAGTAAAGCTATTGTAATCTGTACACTGATATTCTTTGAGCAAGTCAAGTGTGAACTTCCTTTGAGATATTATCACACCATCATCTTTGTAAAGAACCTCTAAACCTAGGAAGTAGTGTAGTCTGCCCAGATCTTTTATCATGAAGTTGTTATTCAGAAAAATCTTTAAGTCTTCAAACTCCATTATGTCAGTTCTTATCACCACAATGTCATCTACATACAATGCTATATAGACAGTTGAGTTTTCAGTTTTATTGTAAAACAAAGAATAGTCATACATAGAGTGTGCATAACTCCTTGAACATAAGGCTTCAGTGAGCTTAGCATACCACCGCCTATTCGCTTGTTTCAGCCCATAAAGGGATTTGTTGAGCTTGCAGACCAACTCTGAACTATCTACAGTCATGCCCTGAGGAATCTCCATGTAGACTTCATCATTTAAGTCCCCATGTAGGAATGCATTGTTTACATCCAATTGGGACATATGCCACACCTTCTTCACAACAACAGCTATCAGAGACCTCACATTTTTCATATTGACTATAGGGGAGAATGTCTCTATATAGTCATTGCATGCTTGTTTGGTATATCATTTCACAACCAGCCTAGCTTTGAGTCTTTCTACACCCTCGTCTGCTTTTTGTTTTATCTTATACACCCATTTGCACCCTATAGTTTACTTCCCAACAGGTAAGGGCACTAGGTCCCAGGTATGGTTGGCATGTAATGCTTCAAACTCTTGGTTCATAGTTGTTTGCCATGCAGGATTCATAGATGCCTCCTCATATGATGAAGGCTCACTATCACTGCAAAATGTCTCTTACAAGACTTTGGCTCTCGGGATTTAGAGCATCAGTGGAGACATGATGATGTTTAGAAAATGAAGCATTGAGAGAAAATGGTATAGGTGAGTTACTGAGAGAAACATGTGATGATTATTTCAATTTTGGAAGTGGGTGTAGATAGTCTTGTAAGTATAGTGGTATTCTGTAAGGTCTTTGTGATTTTCTTAAGGTAATGGATGTGGGGTCTGGTTGATGCCCAACTGGTGATGTGCTTTGGCTTGAAGACTGTGGTGTATTAGATTGTGGTGAGGGGGTGGAAGATTCAATTAATCCGGAGGATCTCATAGGTATTAAAGGAGTATCATGCTCTGAAAGCTGAATGTGTGTAACACTTGTGCCATCATCACTATCACAAAGATGTTTATCATTCTTAGGAGTGTGATCAAAGAAATGGGCAGGATTAAAAACAGAAGGAAAAGGTGTGTTTTCATATGATAGAGTGAAGGGAAACACACTTTCAATGAAGACAACATCCCTGGAGACATGTATCTTTTTAGTGGCAAGACTTAGGACTTTGTACCCCTTGACTCCATAAGGATAACCAATGAATATGTGTGATGTTCTAGGTTCAAATTTGTCCTTATGCACCTTTGGTACAAAAGGATAACACATGCATCCAAAGCTCTTTATGTGAGAGTATATTGGTTTTCTTTTGTAAAGTAATTCAAATAGGGATTTAGGGTGACTATGGGAAGAAGGTAGTTTATTTATGATGTAAGTTGCATACAGAATGCATCCACCCCAGTACTTCACAAGCAATTTAGATTGAAACAAGAGTGCCCTAGCAGTTTCTAGGAGATATTTGTATTTTCTTTCCACTGTCCCATCTTGTTGTGGTGTGTAGGGGCAGCTCATTTGATAGGTGATGACTTTGGATTGGAAAAATACGTTGTCAGATCTGATAGTTTTGATTTTGGTGTTGAATTGGGTTTCAACCATGGAAACAAAGGTTTTTATAACTTGTAGGGTATTACTTTTACAAGTTAGAAGATTGGTCTAGGTGCACCTACTATAGTCATCTATCATTGTAAGAAAATATTTGTAATTATCATGTGTTGTCACATGATAAGGTCCCCATATATCTATGTGGAGTAATTGAAAATTTTCAGTTGTGAATTTGATTTTCTAGGGAAATGGTAGTCTTCCTTGTCTAGCCATTTGACAAATGGAACAAAGGAAAGGTTGTTTGGATAGAAAATAGACAAGGATAGAGGAGATCCCTCTCATTTTGACAAAGGGTACATGCTCTAGCCTATTATACCACAAAATATTCATATCATAATCAGTGGATGCACAAGAACTCAGATTAGAACTCTTATTGTTATTACTTGAATTTGAACTATTTACAAAGGGGAAAGGTATACACTTATTTGTAGAAATTGAGCTATGTACAGATGAATGACTAAGACAGGGTGAATTGTGTGTGCAGTGAGTCCTATTATCAAGGCAAGAAACTGAATTGCTGGCTACAGAACCTGAGTACTTGTTCCTCAGACACTTTGGGCAAAGAAAGTACAAACCATCACATGCCTTACCAATCTCCAAAGGCCTCTTCATTAAAAGAGGCATGCAGAATGCAAAGATGATCAGTGAAGGCTACCATACTCTTGGGGTTGGAACTGGCTAGACAGTGAATAGAAATTAGATTGTATTTGAAGGAGGGTATAAATATTACTTTATGTAAGGTGATGTCAGGCACAAGTGTTGCACTATCAATTTCTGTTACTTTTACTTTCTAGCCATTTGGGAGGACAACTAGGAGTGGATAAGGTAATGTCACAATGTTAGTAAGTAGGTATTTATTAAATGTTATGTGGTTTGAATCCCCTGAGTCTAATATCCAGGAATCAGTCTTGTTTTTGAAACACTTATAGGACAATTTACCAAAATCTATAGAGGAAGTGCAAACTACTATACCTGCAAAGTTCATAGCTCAATTGATGAGATTGCCAGCATTTATATGTTCTCCTCCATTCCCAGCTTGAAAGTGTTGCAACGAAGTCATGATCTGTCCATATTGCTCCTTTGATAAACTAATGTTTTGATCTTCATTCGGGTTATTAGCTTCCCCTACCTTGTTGCAAGATGTGTCAGGATGGACATTAGCCACTACCCTTTTTTCTTTGCTAAAACTCTGATTTCAGTTGAAACCTTGATTTTGATTGAAGCTTTGATTGGGATTTTAATTTTGATCGCGTGAATATCCAGAATTATCAGGGTAGCTATGTAGTTTATATCACTTATCCTTAGTCTGCCCTCGCTTCTTGTAGTAGTCACACATAGGCCTTCCCCTTCCATAACCACTGTAGTTGCCATTGTTGGGTGAGTAATTGGTCTTGTAGGTATTGGACCTATAGCTGGTGGCATTCAATGATGTGGACTCAATGAACAATTGAGTATTTGGTTTGATTTCTCTTTGTTTCTCGTCTTGTATCAGCAAGGAAAAGGCTTGAGCCAATGTTGGTAATTAATTCATCATGAGAATGCTTCCTCGAATTACAGTATATGTCTCGTTCAAACCCATAAGGAATTGTGTTAGCCGCCTATCCTGTCCAGCTTTGTAGAAGTTTTCCTTGGCACCACAAGTACAATTACAGTTGTAGTGGGACCTTTTACTCAAACTGCTCAATTCTTCCCAAAGTTTTTTCAATTTAGTGTAGTAACTAGTGATATCAAGGGTTCCATGAGATGTATCATTATTTCCTTTTGGATTTGATACAATCTAGCTCCATTTGTTTGCTCATATCGATCTTCTAACTCAATCCATAACTCCACAACATCATTCGCGTATTCAACACTGTCTGCAATGTCCTTCGAGAGAGAATTAAGGATCCGGGAGGTCACCATATCATCACATCGCTCCCACTGACGGAATGTGGGCGAGTGGGCACTACAAGAAAGTATGAAATTTGCAACAACGTTTTAGCAACAACTGAAATATTATTGGCTAAAATAAATAAATGGCAACAACTTAATAAAATTGTTGCTATAGCATAGATTTTTTGGTAACAAAATTATCTTATTGGCAAACATGTTAATTTTGTTGCCATATTCTATTATTTAGATAATAAACTTTAAACTTTAAAAATGGCAACAACGTTCTAGCAATAATTATAGTGTTGTTGTTGAATTTTAATAAATGGCAATAACTAATTTTAGTTGTTACAAAAAATATAATTTTTAACATAATAAAATTAAATTATAAAGAGAATTGGCAACAATAAAGTTTTTTTGTTGGCAATACACATTAAATTGCCAATGAGATGCATGGGTTGTTGTGGCCTAAAACTTTTCAATGTTCCGCCAAAATTAAACGCGGCAAATATTTTGTATTTTAATTATTTTTTTCGGACTTTTAGCCCACTCTCTAATAACCATTCTTGCTAGGGTTTTTCTTATCATTTCTACTTGAAAGAGCCCTTCTTCTTCTGCGTCCTCCTTGTTGTGTCCTATTGCTGCTGATCGGAGAAGAACCGGTAAGAACTCTATCTTCAATTTCTTTACCTGATTGCTTGTCTTTTATTAGAGAAGTACTTAATTGGATATGGCTATCTTAATTTCTTCTATGCCAGATTAGGATTTGCACTTTTTCTTCTCTAATTCCTTATGCTTTAGAAAGCAACTTTGCATAAGTTTTTCTTTTATTATTGTTCAGTTTCTTGTTCCTTTTTTAATGGACCTTTTTCTATTGTTGTCATAACATGAATGTGAATTATTGTTTCCTCGAAGGATTCTGGATAAGATACTAGATTGAAGGTTAGCAATTCTACACTTCTAGTTTTAAATACTAATTTCATGAAAAGTTTATCAATTACTTGTTATTTGTGATATTGGAACGGACGACTATGGAAAATTTTCTTGATTGTATGATGTTGATATGTTAATCCAATATATAGTTTTGTTTTTCTTTACGAGTTTTTACACGTTTTCTGTTATGGCGAAATATTTCGGATATGTCATTGGTTTTGCCGTAACTCCATGTTTGCTAATTAATTTGAAGGTGAAATCTTTTTGGTGAGGTTGCTGGTTGTTTCTGATCTCTTCTTTTGAAATTCATCCTAGACTTTATGTAGTTGTGAACTTATGAGAAAAAGTTAATTATATAGTTTTACATCTATTGTTTTATATTTTATTGTAGGTAAGTATATGATAGATAAGAATTGGCTACTTATTAAGAATAGGACATTACTAGAATAGTTGAATGGTGCGGAATATTTTTTGAACTTTGCATTTTCTAATCCTGATGTTGGTGTAAGAATTCAGTGTCCGTGCATTAAATATAATAATGTTCTTAGAAAATCACGCGATGAGGTTAAGACAGATTTACTTAGGTGGGGAATAGATCCGACCTATGATAGGTGGATTTATCATGGTGACCCGGATTCATCTTCAGATGATGAAACAAATTCCGATATAGATTCAAATTTAGGGAATGATGATGCTCGCATTTTTGAAATGTTGCATGACATGTATCGTGGTGTTCCCTCTAATAGTCGTGAGTTTGATGAGACCACTGAGTCTAGGTACGAAGAGCCAAATACAAAAGCTAAAAGTTTCTATAGGTTATTAAAGGATGCAGAGCAAAAGTTATATCTAGATTGTGAAAAGTTTTCCAAACTCTCGTTTGTAATGTATCTTTTTCAGATGAAGTGTTTACATGGCTGGACCAATACTTCTTTTGAATCTTTGTTAAAATTATTAAGTGATGCTCTTCCCAAAGAAAATGTGCTCCCTAATTCTATCTATGAAATTCAAAAGATCATAAAAGATTTGAGTCTAGATTATGTTAAGATAGATGCATGTGTTAATAATTACATTTTATATAGAAAGGAATACGCTGATCTTGAGCAATGCCCTAGATGTAGTGAATAAATATGGATAGTAAGAAAAGGAGAAGATATTGATAATGAAGTTGCTTTAAGAAAATTGAATAAGAGAAATAAAAAAATTCCTAGAAAGATTCTTAGATGCTTTCCTTTGATACCAAGGTTAAAACGATTATTTATGACAAAACAAACCGCTGAAGATATGACATCGCATAAAAATAAGAGAGTTGATGATGGAGTATTAAGGCATCCAGCTGACTCATTGGCATGGAAAACTTTTGATGAAAAACATTCAAGTTTTGCTTCAGATCCACGTAATGTAAGATTTGGGCTTGCTTCATATGGTTTTAATCCTTTTGGTTCAATGAGTAATGTCTATAGCATGTGGCCAGTAGTTTTAATTCCATATAATCTCCCCCATGGATATGCATGAAACAATCTAATATTTTGTTATCCTTACTTATTCCTGGACCAAAAGGTCCTGGTATGAATATTGACGTATATTTCCAACCCTTGATTGATGATTTAAAAACCTTATGGGAGAGTAGAATTGAGACTTATGATGCTTTTAAGAAACAAAATTTTTACTTGTATGCTGCTTTGTTGTGGACGATTAATGACTTTTCAGGTTATGGTATGTTATCCGGTTAGATCACCAAAGGTAAATTAGCTTGTCCAGTTTGCCATGTACATACTGAGTTAAATTAGCCTTAAATGGCTTTAGGTTTCGAACAATGGAATCTGAGTTATATTTGAAAATCCAAAATAGTGGTATAGTTGTAAAGAGTGATGAGCATACAGAAAATGTTGATTATTATGAAAAGATAAGAGAGATTTTAGAGATCCAATATATGGGTAATTCAGTCATATTATTTAAGTGTGACTGGTTTGAAGTTCCTCCCCAAGGTCGAAGTCAAAGCAGAGGTTACGAAAGTGATGAATATGGATTCATATGTGTAGATGTGACACGAATCCATTACACAAATGATCCATACATTTTAGGCTCGCAGGATAAATCTGTGTATTATGTTAAACATGGTCAAAGTGAGAAATGGCATGATGTGGTAAGGGTAAGACCAATTCTCGAACAAGAAGATGAAGCAGAGCCATATCAATTAATTGACTTGGTTGAAAGGGAAGAAGCAAGCCTTCAAGCAGAATTGAACAATGATGTCATAATAATTCAAAGAGAAGATATTGATGGAGTGAGTGTTGAAGCACCTTCTATTAATAATGAGGAAGAAGTAGATTTAGAAGTTGGGGAAGAATCTGATCATGAAAATGGGGATGCCTATAATAATTCTGTAACATATGAAGAATACCTTTCTGAGGAAAAATATCTTTTTGAGGAAGAATATAATGAACACGATGATGATGATTGGTTGTGATCTTCAACTAGTCTTCAAAACTACTTTGCTTATTTCAATCGGTTTCTTCACATGACTTATGTTCATCCATCAACGTACCGAAATGGTTAATTTCTACTTTATACTACTCCTTTTATATTTTAATTTTTAAATTTTTGTGATTTTTGCTTTGTAACTTTATTTGTTTCTCATTACTTCTGAACATATTTTGTCTTTTTCTTATCATTTTGCTGCCTTCACTTCTATATTCGATGTCACAACCCAAAAACCTAATCTGTCGTGATGGCGCCTATCGTGGATCTAGGCAAACCGACTCATTTCCAAACAAATCGATATTTTTATTTCAAAGATAATTTCAATACTATTTAACATAAAACCTTCATTTAAGGAGTTCAAATCAAGGAAAATAGAAGTGCGGAAAAGAAAAGCCCGACATCGGGGTGTCACTAGTCATGAGCATCTACTATAATCTGTCTAATAATATCAAGGCTAACTCAGCCTGAAAAATAGCTAAATACTACTAGAGGAAGATAAGAGGGAGAAGATCAGGGGCTGCGATCGCCAAACAGCTACCTTGCTATCTCCAAGAAAATCTGCAACCAGAACACTCAATAACCGCTACCGTGTCCAGCTACACCTGAATCTGCACACAAGGTGCAGGGAGTAACGTGAGTACGCCAACTCAGTAAGTAACAACAATAAATAAAGACTGAGCAGTAGTGACGAGCAATAAAGCATATAACGTTCATATCATGAAATCTCAGTAAAGTACAGCATGCTTTAAAAATTAGTGTTTGAATCAAATCATCTCGTTTAAACCCAGTTTCAGTAAAAATCATTTAAAGATATTTTTCCAACAGTTTTTCAAACAAAGGCTCAATACAAAGGT